GCCCCGAGCCACCTCTCTCCCTCCTCCCTGAAGCTGGCCCAGCTCTGACACGCCAGGGAGAGCAAGGACAGGACAGCGTCTGACCTCCTCAAAGGCGCAGGGCAGCGTTGCTCGCCTGAGCTAGAAAGCCCTGATCCAGGAGGTGACCTATGCAGGCAACAGCAGCCCCGAGCCCTCGCCAGAGATGCCGGGGGTAGCAGGGAGAGGTTGCGGCAGCCTGTGGGCCTCAGCTCACCCTTATATTGACGCAGGATTTTGGGACTGTTCTTCACAACTATCGTGAAATGCACAGCAGGCTCCAAACCAGGAGGCCGGCCCAGCTGGGACCCTGACGAAGCTGCAGCTGCAGCCTGTGCTCACTCACCGATAGTGGCCTCGCACCACCCCATCCGGGTTCAGCATGGGAATGAGCTTAAAGACGAACATCCGCCGCAGCATCTGGGCGCGGGGGTCCTCCTCCCGCAGGATGAAGTCCAGGAAGCCGTTGAAGACGAAGCTGGAGGGTGTTTCTCCCGGGTGGACTCTGCTGCTCAGGAAGAACACCTGGGGGCAAACAAACAGGGGTGCTGGGCAGGTTCCTGTCTGCCCCGAGATGCTGCGATGCCTTAGCCGAGGGGCCAAGCGCTCCCTGGTGCTCCTCCCCTGCACCGTGGCCAGGCACCACGCTGCCCGAGGCGGAGATAAAGCCTTTATGTAGAGCAGACAACCAGGGACCAGCTGCGGCAACACAACAGTTTTCGGTAGCTTCTTTACCCGGTGCCTCTCCTAGGTCCTGCTTGGAATAAGGTTGGTTATCCCTGTGTGAGACTAAAGGGACAGAAACCCGCAGCCTGCCACCAAGAGAAACCAGAGTACGGGTGGCAGAGCAGCAGAGCCGCAGAAGCGCCCCAGGGAAAAGCCCCGAGAGATCCCGCAGAGCAGGGAACGAGCCTGACCGCGATGAGGACATAAAGCACCTCCCGAAGAGCCCTTCTCTTGGTGGGAGCTTCTCAGCAAGAGACGCGCGTGCAGCCTCCCGGCCGCCCATCCCAGCTCTGTGCAGCCGCAGAGGGAGCTCCCTGCCCGTCCCCGTCCCTAGCAGGCAGGGCCCACCTACCTACCACCCCAAATACAGCACTTCCATCAGTTTCTTCACAGCTTAACGGAGCAACAGCATTAAAAGGGCAACAGAACAAAACTCCTAGGAAACGAGATGCTAATTTTTTGCCCTGAGGAACACGTGTGGTGCTACCAGAGGGCATTTCATGGCACCGAGATGGTGTGGATGCACTGGGGCTCCTGGCGGGCTACCAGTTCCCACGCCTTGACACGGGATCTCACAGACTCTCTACTCCCCACACTCCACCCCGTCTAACACTCCAGCCCTCCAGGACACGGCACCTTTCAGGTCAGAGACGTGAGGGTGGCAGCAAGGCCCTGACACACAGACCATCGCACAGTCTGCTGGCCGCATTCGCCGTCCCCAACGCAGTCCCAAAGCCGGCGCAGCAGCTCACCCTCTTCCCTGCGAAGCGGCGCGGCCGTGGCGTGGTTGTGTCTGGGAAAAGCTTGTCCAGCCGGGGCTCCCGCTTCTCCAGCATGCCGTGGCACGAGGTGACGGTGAGCAGGTCCACTCGCAGCTTGTCCAGGGAGTGGCAGAGCAGCTCCCGGTGGTAATAGACAGAGGCGAGGGGGCTGCAGGGCAAGGGGAGACGCTCAGCCAGCCTGCCCCAGTCAGCTGGCAACACACGTCGGAGCCCCCCCCTCCAGGGAAGAAAGGGGCTTGGCTGGGGCAGCTGCCGTACTGGATGAGCGTGCTGCTGGGCCGGGGACAGGGCACTGAGCCTCACCCCGGGCAGCTGCTGGAGATGCCCTTAGGGAGCCAAGGGGGCTCCCAGCTGGGCGGGGGACGCCCTCCCCACCT